TCGCAACGCTCTTACGCGAATCGGAAATAAGATCGACTTTCTTTATAAATTTGTTTTACTATGTTTTTCATATTTTTCCGCATTTATTTGGTTACTTGTCGTTGGCTTTCGCAGAGATCCGGTTCCTCTGGAAAATTAGGGTTTTCCTAAGTTTCCTTATTTAACGGAAATCGACAAGTGTGAATTTCGGTTCCCACAGGTTAGTTTTGCAATTGCGAAAACAAACTTCAATATTTAAAAAAATCTAGACGACTGAAATTTCAGTCGTTCCTGGGGCGACTTACAATTCAGTCGTCTAGGATTTACGAGGTTTGACCAGAATCTCGGAATAAAAACCTGGACGACTGAATTGTAAGTCGTCTGGCGGACGACTGAATTGTAAGTCGTCTTGACAGTTAATGTTTTTTTCACAATTGCAAAACTAACCTATTGTAAGTCGTGCGTTCCAATAAAATAATGATATTTCAGTTTTTTCGTAGACGACTGAAATTTCAGTCGTCCTAGAAAGTCAAAATTCTGAAATTTTCTAGTCAAATGCAAAACTAACCTACGACGACTGAAATATCAGTCGTCTAGATTCTTAAGATATTTTTTTGTAGCCAAAATAAAGTAGACGGCTGAAATTTCAGTCGTCTCTGGAAACAAATTGCAAAGTCAATTGCAAAAATAACTTCTGCGTTGACTGGACGAAAGCAGACGACTGAAATTTCAGTCGTCTGGACGAACAGATCGCAAAAAAAAACTCGATTTCATACCTTCAATTGGTGAGAGCACTTTCCTTGACTATATAAACCCTAGAAAATGTAGAATCAAGCACTCAGGATCTCAAACGATGGTAATCCACCCTGAATCTTTAATTTCTTTGACTATATGAACCCTAAAAAATGTAGAATCAAAATCTTGGGTTTTTTAGCTCATTGTGGAGAGAAAGTGAGAGATATGTGTTGTAATGTGTTGTTTAGTTCATGAGAATAGAGAATGAAGAAGGGTAAATGGAATTTGGAGGTATTAAGAGCTTCAAAATTGGTTGTTCATGGTTGTTGGAGTATTGATGACAATGGCAATTTTGTAATTACTTGAAGATGATGAGGGTGGGAGAGTAAATATGTCATTTTCGAAAAAACAAAAACAAATTGATGACATTTTCGTGAATTATATGAACTTGTGGGGTGAATTGGACAAAATAAAGTTCCAAAAAAAAAGAGATTAGTTTTGTGGTTGACTTCAAGTTTCAGGTCAATTCTACAAAAAATCCTTATAAAAATAGGAAAAGCCAGATAACAAAACTGGTATTTATTTATATGTTTTGATTATTAAAATCAAATATAATAAATGTTATGTAAAAAACTTGTACTTGTTATTAATCAAACAAAAATGTTTCTGTAAAAATTTATAAATCAAAATGAAAGTAAAGAAAACCAAGAGCGGAGACCTTAGAAAACACCCCTAGATTTTACTTCCCCTCTTAAACAATATATAAAGACAACTGAGAGTAAGAAGTAGAGACAAATAGAAAAGAGAAGAAGGTTCGCTTGAAACAATAAAGAAATCAAGAATGTTGCTGGTGACAGTATTGGCCGAGATGTTAAAGGAGTACACGGTGGTACTCGCCGGAGTTTTGGAGCATCTCTTTTCTCAGGCGCCTTTTCCAAGGAGGATCCGACTTCATATATTATACTCTCTCCCTTTCCATACTTCCAGTTAATCTCTCCCTCTTCTCCTTCATTCTTCTCCTCCTTACGCTCGTACTTTAAAATCCAAGAAGCTTGATGTTTTATTATTTGCTTACGCTGTGATTTCTATTTGAGTTGAGATGTGTAGTCCAGAGCTTTTGTTGTACATAAGATCTTTTCAAGTTAATGCATCCTCTTTCTGAAAATACAAAACAAACAAGTCACAGAACTTTGTTGTGATTTCTCTTTCTTGAATTGATCTGTTAAAGAAGAGGAAGAAGACTGTTGTTTTACGTCTCTTCTTAGTATAAATGAGTTGAATTCGTCATCAGATTTTTTTTCCTTCTTTTTGGTAAAAGGTGTATACGGACTGGCCTGCTTGGCTTTTCTTAACTACAGTGTATATTTCATCCAAGAATTTCCGACCTTGCTTAATTTGTTGAGTTTATTAGTAAGTCAGATCAAAAGTTCCTAATGCGAGATTTTTCTTCACGATGTTACAAGACTTATTAGTGCCATTTCTTTGGAAACTTGTGTGTTGGGCATCAAGTTATAGATGCATATTCTCATAGCATTTGGGTTGTTTCAAACACAGGTGTGATTGGGAAGTTAGTTCATGGGTTCAAAAGTGATCAAACAATCACATGTCCAGTCTTGTTTAAACAGATAACAAAGAGTACTTCAATTTGTTTGTACACGCATCATTATGAAAAAAAAGTTTTTGGAATCACCATAACTCTTCACCGTTTTAAAATAAAATATTGATTGATGATCTGTAAGGATTTCAATAAAACTTTAATAAGAGTAGCATTTGGGACTGAATATTCCACCAACTATTAAAAAAATTTCAAGACATGGTTCAATACATCTTTTTTTGGAGGTTGGTGTGTAAGCCGCATGGTTCCAACATCTTGAACATGTCAGCGTTTTACATGGTGTAATAAAAGAAAAGAGGAATTGATCTGTAAGAAGATTGTGATAAGTGAAAGGTGGCCTGATCCGTATCTGCAGTTTTATTGTGTATTTGAGACCAAAGGTTTTGGCGTCCTGCGTCCAGCAGGATCCGCTTCTCCTTGGTTTAACAGATAGCAACCAAAACCAAGACCGGTCACCTCGTGGTACGTACGCAATAGGTCGAGATCTCTGAAGAAAGACACGGTGCATCTTAAATATGCAGAGTAGTTGGAGTGAGCTAAGCAATAAAAAAAAAGGCAAGCAAGAACCTTATTCAATAGATAGTTTTTGGCTTACTCACTTGGGACAAAAAAATATATTTACGAGCTGTATTATCTTGCGATCTGTTCTTTGTATTCACCTACACCACTTTCATTAATACTTAAATATTCGGACTACACTTTGAAGAAGGAATAATCCTAGCTCTACCAACAGTACAAAGAGACAATACAACATAAACGATAAGAGTAGAGAAATCTCTAGGATAAATTGACAGCGAATTCTGAGTAAAACCCGAATGCGTCACAGTAAGGTTCACGGCAAAACCGGAAAGTTGAAACTTAATCACATTATATCGTGACGTTGATAGCCAATCTACACCTCGGATGGTAACGAAGTCCGTTGCATCTTCAGCCCTGTCGGACCGCTCCACAAGATAACAAAACAGTTAGAGATTTTGACAACTTTATCTACTTTATAGCAGGAGAGATAGAGATGACACTTCTCATGTATTCACCTTATTCATTATCAATAACATTGGTTCAGTTCGACCAAATCATTTTGGAGATCTACTTACAAAATAATTTTCTCAACATTACCTTAAACTGTAGTTTATACCACATAAAGATTCTGAACGCAGGTTTTAACATACGTGCCTTACCAAATTCTTTTGTAGGAAAATGAACATAAGGGTGTTGCACCTATGAATTTCAGGTTTTGATAACATAAGACACATACACATGTTGCACACCAAGAGTGACTTTGCGGATGACAATGTTAATTATATGGATATCTCAAGAGTCTTTGTTGAAAAATTACATTTAGAAACAAAGAGGGCGATGGTAAAACAGAAAGTAGAGTGCAGGAAGGAGGCTTTTACAATAAAACTGCTTTCTTTTTGGGTTCAAGAACTGGAGGGTCTATGTCGATCCCCATGTTAGCTGCAGTTCCTGCAATGATTCTCATAGCGGATTCAATGGTGGTGCAGTTCAGATCAGGGAGCTTCTCTGCTGCGATTGTGCGTAGCTGGTCAATTGTTATCGTCCCAACTTTGTCTTGCTTTGGATCTTTCGATCCCTTGTCAACACCTAATTTGCACAACACAGCAAATGTCAAACATGCACAGGAAGAGAAACAGTGTAGATGCCACACCTCATCTTTGAATAGAAGCACAAGTAATGATCTAACAAAACTAGTAAGACAATGAGCATAGTGTACAGAAATTAATATAACATGGCTTTCTTGCCAATTGTCCTTGCACCAAAGCAAAAGTGAAAAGCTATACAGCTTTGCAAAACCAAACACCTTAAGATGAATGCACAATCATTGGTCACATGCTATCCATTGTGGAAATAAATACCTGCAGCCTTGAGCAACAAAACGGAAGCAGGCGGGGTCTTGAGGATAAAGGTGAAGCTCTTATCCTGCAACCATATTAACTCCATGAAACCCTCTCAATAGAGCTATCGAAGACTGGATACCAAAACATTTCAAAACTCACATCGAAGACAGTGATTTCGACAGGAATGATATAACCAGCTTTATCAGCGGTTCTCGCATTGTAATCCTTGCAGAAAGCCATAATGTTGACTCCCTTGGAACCAAGAGCCGGTCCTACTGGTGGCGCTGGAGTTGCTTTCCCGGCCTCAAGAGCCAGCTTTATAAGCCCCACAACTGCCAAAGTTATGAGACCAAAATGAACACCGAGATTTTTAAGGAAATGGGCTTTTGAAAAATCCTGTTACCTTTCTTGGCTTTGCCTCCGGGTTTGGGTGGAGCCATGGCGATTACGGTGAGAAATCTCGGGGTTGAGGACAGAAGTGGTGGGGACTGTCCCTTTCCTAGAAACTGGACTGATACATTTGCTTTGGAGGATAACTTAGCCGAAACAGAGTTTGATTTGGGATACAGCGACGACGAAGCAGAGCTGCAAAGAATTGAAGACGCCATTGATTCAAAGTGAACGAAGAAAGGCAGAGTTCTCGGATAGCGTAAAATCCTATCCACTTTTGAGTTTTTAGTTTTGAGTTCTCTCACTTTACTGGCTTAATAGGCTTAATAACCAGGCCCTAAGTTCCAGATCCAGTAAGCACATACACAAGCCCCCTAAAGCAAAATCACATTCTGTGTTTCTTCTCTTGATTGTAGTGGATTAATTTTTTCCAACGTTTCCTTTCCACTTATTGTTCTAGTTGATTACCACTCAGAACAGTGCATCTTCACATCTTCTATTCTATTAAAATAGAGTCATTTTTTTATCTACTGATACAAGTTGTCATTTAAATTTGGACCCTTTCTAGAATGTTACAAATAATATAAGTCATATAATTGATTGAACCGTATTTACTTAAATTAAACCAACACAATTAATGTAAACTACCTTCAAAATACAACAAATATCTATGTGTATACCGAAAATACATATTTTCTCCTACAAATATGGAATATTCTAAACGAATATATATCATCAAAATATGGAATATAGAAATCTACTAAATATACTTAAATTAAACCAGTGGTTATTTATGGAATATAGTCTTGGTTTACTTTTATTTTTGAACAAATGATATAGTTTGGTTTTTGGGCTTAATATTAAGAAAAAACTCCAAGAAACATTGAATAAACTATTCACCTTAAAAGATCAAAAAATCAATTATTATTTTCAGACCCAAAAGGTATTTAATATTTTTAACAAAACTATCTATTATTAATCATTTATTTAAATCATGTACTTTAAAACATGTTAATATATTTTTTATTTTAAATAACAATCACTTTGTTTTGATAAATTTCAATTGTAACTTTTAAATAATTTATTGTTTTATTTTTCTAAATAATTTACTGATTAAAAAAATGTAAAGCAAAACCAAAAACCAAAAAACCAAATCTAAAAACTTAAATCCAAAATCAAAAGATGAAAACACATATTATATTTTTTTTGCTTTGTTTATTTATAAAATAAACTATTTCAAATTTTTTTAAAAAATTTTGTTTTTATCTTTTCAATTTTAAATTAGATGTTCGATTATTTGAGATTTGTTTGTTGGTAATATCAGTTCAAACTAACTTAGCGGGTTTAAAAATTAAATACCCAAACAAAAAACTGAAAATGAAAAGTAGAAACTAAAAACCAAAAACCAAAACCCAAAATCTAAAAATAAAAAGTAAAACTAAAAACTAATGAAAAACAATCATCATCACAAATTTTGATGAACTGATTTTATATCAAAATATTCTTTAAATTAAGACAAAACCCAATTATATAAATTTTTAATCATAAAAAATTTCCGCGCTTTTAAGCGCGGGTCAAAATCTAGTATATATTAAAACAGAAGTTACAACATTGATTCATGTGTGATTTTTTTTAAAATATACTCTCAATAGGAATTAGTTATCATTTATTAATTTTAATAATATTTAATTCCTAATATAAAATCCGACTCCTATAAAATCGGTTTGGTTAACAGACACATATTTAATTTCTTAATAAATTATATACAGTAGTAATGTAAACCATTATAGTTCAAAATACTTAACCGATTTAAATAATTTAACCAATGTATATATAATGGTTGTATAAACATCTTATCTGTTAAAATAGAAATCATGACTTCTTTCATTTGTGATTTTTAATTTGCACCATCTTTTGAACTACTTTAATCATAATATATTTTGATCTTTTTTCAATTTAAATATAAATATTTTTTTAAAAAAATATGCTTAAAATATTTAACAAAATCTTAATATTCAAAAATTCTGAATAAATATTTTAATAATTCGTGATTATACATGTAAATAATCATTAATATATTTTATAAAATGTAGAATAAAAGTTTTAAATAAATATGATAATATTAAATTATTAAACTTATACATTTTATTTTCAGAAGTATTTATGTTCAAAATATAATATGTTGGTAACATGGGTTACAAACTATATAATACATGTATAAAAATTAACATGTATTTCATTAAAGCTAATAATATAAAATATTTGTAACTATTTTAATTATGATATCTTTCGTTTTAATATATATATATATATATATAATTCTAGCAAATTTGTTGGAAAATATTTTAACAGTACCTTAATTTTTCAGGAAGTTTACGTAAATATTTTAACTAATTTTTTAATTAGCAATAAACTATTATTATGCATTAATATCTTATTTTTATATATTTTATAATAATAATAGCTTATGTTAAAATAAAATTATTTTATTTAACTAGATATGATAAAAAGAAAAAAAATTTGCAACAAAAGGTCAAGACACAATAAGTTACATCCTAACCCTAGAGCCAGCTCGGAAAGATGGAATCAACATAAACCTAGCAGAAGGCATATTCCGAGCACCGCGTGCCAGTTTATCAGCCATTGTATTTTTTGCTCTTGGGATATGTTGAATGGTGAAGGTCTGAAAGAATTCCTTACATTGCAGAAACTCCTCCATGTGTGTAGTGAACGCCAACCATTTTGTGGGTGTAGACACCATCTTCACCAGTTGAGAACAATCTGTTGCAAACACCACTTCTAAAATATTTAGGGTCTTCATGCACTACATTGCCCAGATCAAAACTTCACATTCTGCATGTAAAGGTGATAGACTCCTGCAGATATTCATGATACCCATCATAGTATTAGTTGTTCCTTCGTACCTATAAAACTATCCTTGACCATAAATAAATCATGTTCTTTCCATGCACCATCAATATAACACCAATGGGGACATTGAGATAAATGATTCTCCGGAACAATCTAAGGCTCCCCCATCTTCTCGTCTTTTAATTGAGCTTCCGCCCATAAAGTACCTTCTATTTCCGCAACACAAAGAATCTCCAAAGGAGTTGCTGTCCGATTGTTGTGAATCTTATTGTTCCAATTTTTCCAAATATACCACATAATCCACGGAAAATACGTCAGATCTGGTTCCTTGGGTAATCTCCAGAATAAATAATCTATGTTGGTGAAAATGGATGGAGCAGGGAAAATCCCTGGAGATGAAGAAATGAACGAAAGTGCCCAAGTTTGGAGTGCCAAAGGGCATTCAAAAAGTACATGATTTGTCGACTCCTCATCCGCACCACAAAATTGACATTGTAAATCACACTGAATACCACGAGACCGAAGATTCTTTATGATAAGTAAAGTACCTGAAATTATCTGCCAAACAAAATGTCTTAATTTCGGTGAACATCTAAGCTTCCAAGAATGAGCTAATAACATATTTGTATCTGGTCCCATCTCTTTTTGCTATAAACCCCAATCCGGAAAGAGTGTCTCCATCCGATATCCCGACTTAACTGTATATCTACCATGATCTGAAAAACACCATCCAATGAATCGGTCTTTGGAATACGACTACTAGCCAAACCTCTTATAACTGCCACATCATCCTGGTGAACATACGCATTTAATAACTCAACATTCTATGATAAATCGACTGGATTAATTAAATTCTCCACCTTAAGTAATGGATTCAAAAATTGATTTGGAAATTTTGAAGTTGCTGATCTCGGGCGTGGAGCAAGGATCTAGGGGTCATTCCAAACTGACAATGGTTGAACCTGTTCCCACTCTTTTGATTAGCCCTTTTTTAACCAGAGATCTAGCAGAAGAAATACTTCTCCACCCGTAGGAAGGAGAATATGATTTTATTGGATCCAAAGGATCTGAATTCATGTAATACCTCCCCTTAAAGACCCTTGCAAACAGAGAATCAGGTTTATCTTTTAGTCTCCATAACTGTTTCGCCAGAAGGGATGTATTAAAATTCTGGATGTCCCGAAAACCAATACCGCCTTCTTCTTTTCCTTTACACAATTTATTCCATGAAAACCAGCGCATACCTTTAGTATTTCCAGGACCCCCCCCCCCCAACAAAAATGAGAAACTACACTTGTCATTTTCTTTGTAACAGTTTTCGATAGACGAAAACAAGACATAACATGAGTTGGCATAGGGGATGCTACCGATGTAATTAAAACTTCATTTCCTCCTTTTGTAATAAAACAAATTTTCCAATTATTAACTTTGTTAACCCTCTCATTAAGAAATCCAAAGATCTGTGTCTTTGAGCCGCCAAGGCTTTCCGGGATACCATCAGCAAATAACAGATGAGAAACCGCCGGACTAGCCCGTGCTACTTTCATTCCCGTCAATAACTTCTCTTTTTCTTTTTTCCTGATATTTGATATTAAAGCTTCTGTACACATAATAAATAAATAAGGTGATAAAGGGTCTCCTTGTCGCAGACCTCTATTTGGCACAATATGTCCCTTGGGTTGTCCATTAATGAGAACCTTGTACTATGCAGACGATATACAAGTCATGATCCTAGATACCCAGTTTCGCGCAAAACCAAATTTTAGCAACAAAGCTTCTACAAAATTCAATTCAACTATATCATATGCCTTACTCATATCTATTTTAGTAGCCACAAATTTCTCCTTACAATAGATTTTTGTCTTTAGTCCATGAAACATTTCCTGAGCAATAAGAGTATTATCTGAGATCAATCGCCCACCGACAAATGCTGATTGTGTTTCGGAAATTAACTTGGGTAGGAACCGTTTCAGTCTTTGACACAGTACCTTTGAAATAATCTTATATCCCATATTACACAAACTAATGAGTCTTAACTCCGTCATACGACTAGGTCACGCTATCTTGGGAATGAGACATATATTGGTCATATTTAATCTATCCTCCAAGAAGCATGTTCTGAAAAACTCATTAATTATATCCGTAATATCTGTCTTTATAATAGACCATGATTGCTGGAAAAACAACGCAGTCATTTCATCCGGTCCAGGAGCTTTCTCTAAATGCATCATAAATAAAGCGGATCGCACCTCTTCCTCAGTTGCCCAAGAGGTCAGAAACCTATTCTGATCCTCTGTGATCAAAGTTGGTACTTCCTGTAAAAACTCCTCATCACCTGAAGGTGATG